AGTAGTGAGTAGTGAGTAGTGAGTAGTGAGTAGTGAGTAGTGAGTAGTGAGTAGTGAGAAGTGAGTAGTGAGTAGTGAGTAGTGAGTAGTGAGTAGTGTGAGTAGTAGTGAGTAGTAGTGTACTTCGACGTGGTTCTTTTTTGCTCGTGTTCTTAGTACGACAGCTGCCTTGTGACATGATTTTTTCCCTATGTCTGATGACTGCCTTGTCAGGAGGTGGCAACAAGATCACACAGTGCGGTCGAAGATGCATTGGTGTTTTTGCCTGGGTGTTCTTCCGTGGACAATTTACCACAACCACTTCGCAGAGATGGCGACGGGATCTTTATCTACGCGGAAAACGCTTGGTTAAAAGGCACTCGGAGCGCTGAAAAAAACAGCGCCCATGAGCTTGAAGCGGCAACGACCTTTTTGCCAGAGGCGAAACTTCCTCTCTCACTTCAACTTCAATCTGTGACGCGTGGCACAGCAACGATGGATTAAAGAAACACTACCGATAAGGAATGTGAAGAACTTTCAATGTAGATCATGAATGTCATTGTGCAGGACCAATTGTACATGTGACTTGATGGCAACCCTTTGAGTGCCAAAAAAGAATTCGCATTTTTGTGTTTTGTTTTCCAAAAAGAGTATCTCTCTTCCCAGCAGCAGCATGCACAGAGTGAAAAATCACAACACAACGAAAAAAACCACTGTTGCATTGTTCTTTATTCCGCAAGACATAGAAAAACTATCCCTGTACAAAGGGCGCCGTACGACCTTGCCTTTGTCAGCTGAGCACGTACTATCAACAACCTTTGCCGTTGCCTGTTCTGTTACAGTGTTTGTTCAGACCACGGAAAAATTGTCGCTTGTAAAACATGTCCGACATGCTAATGGCTAAGGTACAACAAAGCAGGGAACTCATGAACCTCACGATTTGACAATGACATGTTGCGATTTGGGGAACGTGTGCCGTTTTGGCCATTTGAGTTATGTGATGCAGTTGCTTTGCTTTCGTGCTCGTGGCAAGGTGTCAATTGCTTTCCACCAAGTCGTTTGGCTTTGATCTCACACGTGGGAACCTGGCACCGGCGATTCCTGCGCCATGACTTCAGTGGACGAAAACACAATCCCATGCTACAACGTGAAAGGGGAGAGGCTCCACGACCTTCCACGGCATGCAGAAAGCCAACGGGAGGCATTGGTTGCAGCTGAGATCAAGAAACCCGAGTGGCAAATTGTTTTAGTGACCAACCATCATGAAATTGCCAAACCAAACAGCATCGTGCCTTTAGAGGCAACATATTTATGTGCTTTGATTAGCACGCATCACGAACTCAGCAGGGCTGTTTCAGAGAAGGATGTGCCTCGGGTCGAACAACTCTTGGAAGAGGGTCATGACCCAAATTGCCGCGACCCAACTGGGAAGCCTGTGTGGTTGCAGTGCGTGGACTTTGAAATTGGTCAATGTGTGAAGTCATCACTGGAGGCTTGGGGGGGCTAAGCCAGCCAACAACCGTACTGAGAATGTTGAAATCCTCAAGAAACTGCTGGAGGCCCGCGCTTCTCCAGATGCCAAAGATCTACATGGCAGGACTTCGTTGCTTAAAGCATCAGAGTGGAGCTGCTGGGAGCTTGCGCAGGTGTTGTTGGATGCTAAGGCATCTCCCAACATCTCAGATTCTCAGGGCAAGACACCTTTGCAATTGGCTGCAGAGAATGAACATTCCTTGCTGGTGGCCTTGCTTTTGCAAGCTGGTGCCTCCTGAGACGATTGAGATTGAAGTCCGGCACTGCAGTTCGTGACTGAGCTTAGGGCAGAGTTTTTGAACTGTCAGCACGCTCATGTTTTCTGAACTCTGAAGTAAGTTGCTGACATCTACTAAATCTACCCCTAAGACCACTAGAGTGACAAACAAGCTTGATATTTTTCCCAAAAGTGTAGCGACGGTTCCCGTTCAACTCTGCGGGTTTCGGGGTTGGGTCGCAACCGTCCCCAAAAGGCTCGCAACCGTTCGCGCGGGGTCGCTATCGCCTCCCCGCGCGCAAGCCCTCAGAGTGCTCTCAAAAGTGTTGTTGTGTGACGTTTTGTGATAGTCTCGCGCTTCTTGGCGTGTTGCGTGCATTTGACGTGGCAGGCGCAGTACTTTCAGGTTTTGCGTGGCAGGCGCAGCGCATCTGACGAGTCGTCCTCACTCTCACCCATCATCTCCCCACTCCTCACTTCTCACTCTGGCCTCGCCCACACTCGTCACTCTTCACCCCAACGGCGCTGCCATCATGTTCATGACTCATGACGTATCCACCGGCCATCCATCTAGTACAGGCCCTTAGGTTGGTAGAACGTGTCGGTTTTCGGGTTCGAGGGCTACATTTGGTTTATGGGGAGCGTCCTACAGAGACCATGTTTTGGTGGGGCACTCTTGTGAGCTTCGCAATCTGGTGCTTTGAAAGTTGAGGCTTTCTCATGGAAGCTTTGCGCACCAATGTGATGAAGTGGTGGCGGATAGATGTGAGCAAGGCTTGGCCTGTAACGAAGTAGATCTGTATCCAAATTGAGATCCAAGGCGCTTTGAAGGTTTGCCAGCTTCTCTCCGATGTACTAAACTACATACAGCGTCAAATTTCAGGGGGTCGTCAACCCACGAATTTGTGTTGGTCTTGCAGCCAATGAACCGTAGGCTTCGAACAGACTGACCAAACGCATGAGTTTTGCCAAAAGATCATGTTGGTGTGCCCGGCACCTCCCATTTTATCAAGACCGCCAACCCTGCAAACTGGACATGTAGAGCTGTGGTGCTAGGTTGATTGATATTGCTACCGTGCTTTTTGACCACAATCCATCGGCGTCACGAGGCCAACCCTTAACCCGTGAAAGGATGTAAGCTGAATTGGCGTGAAGCGGCATTTCCTCGGGCACTTTTACCATTCGGACACCCGAGGAAGAAGCCAAGAAGCCATTTAGGGAAACTCTAGTCCAGGTGAGAATGTTTGAAGTAGTGACTGAGACTCATTTTTAGACTAGTGCTCTGTTTTTTAGACTAATGCAACAATGCGCGAAGAAAAAAATACGAAATGAACAGACACTGAAGTAGTAGAGAATAGCAGCAACGTTTGGAACAAGACCCTGGAAGTCGCATTTCTGCTGCTTTTTCGCCGCTGCCCGTCGCCAGTCCACGCGACTGGTATTCAGCTCGACAGTCCAACTTCGGGTCCATTTTGGCGCATCCTTTTGTGTAAAAACGAACTTCGGCAAATTCTTCGGGATTTGGTACTTGTTTTCTTCGGTTGAATAGACTGATTTTCTGTGCAGGCTATGTGGGCTCACTGCTCTGCAATGCTTTGTTTGGTTTCATGAGGTTGAATGGCTCTGGAGGTCCCTGCGCGGATGAACGCTTGGATCACCATGAAGCTTCACCGTTGCACTGCACCGCATGTTGCCTTCCTGTTCCTGGTTATCCTGGTGCATTGATTCGCTGAGTGCTGTGCAGTGCATTGCGCAAGTTTTGTTACTGATCTGTACAGTATCCCCTGAGCCGAAATCCGACCTTGCAAGAAACCCGACTTTCCAGGAACATGAAGCTGCTGGTTGGGTCGGATATTGGCTTAGGATGAATTCGCCCATGCAATACTTGCCGGGCGGAACTTCTGTTTGGTGTGCAGGGCACTTGTTGCAATTCCTCCTGGCAACCCCCGATCTCTTCGATTTTTGGTCTCACACTGTGAAGGCCGAGCTTCTTGTAGGCGCGGGCTTCGCCAAGGAAGAATTTACCAAGGGCCAAAAAGCTGGGTAGTTGCGCCATTGGAAAGACCCATTGTACTTCCAAACCAAATGGATTTCGTTCAAAATTTTGGCCCTGGGCCCTTGCAGATGATATGAACGTTTAGTGTCTCCAGCTGTTCAAAGAGTCACAGCCAAAGCTGAAGAGATCTGAAGAGGCTTGAAGGAAATGGGAGACTAAAAGCGGTTCCTTCCGGAATGTGAAATTATGCCGTTGTGTGATTTGATGCTTTGTGTTCATTTCGTGCAGTGCATCGAATCAAATTTCTTTGCAATGTCAAGTTGAATAGTTGTGCGGCGATCGTATTCGAGCGATATGCAAGCGTGTCGTGGCAAATCGGATATTCAGTGTCCTTCTAGACGTCTAACTGTGTTTCAACGGAGCTCCAGTCTTTTCATTCAACATGACAACATTGGCAAAGACATTTCAATCGAAATGAAAACTCTTTGTGTTTAGACTTTTCAAAGGCAAGTGATTAAAACGGCAAGTTGGGGCAATTTTTGGAGCATTTCTGGAGCATTTGGCCCAGAAAACATCTTGGACACTCCAGAGATGGACATCCTGCAGGCTGGCAGTCAAATCGATGCGTCATGAAAGGCAGAGCATTCCCGCAAGCGTGTGCAGGGTCTCATCGCCGCTGCACTCAACCTGCGCAGCCCGTCCGAGGCAGGGCGTTTTGTGCAATTTCTGGTATAAAGCAGTGCCCAACTTGCTACAACACCCTTCGACCGCCATCGTCAGGGCTGTTTTCTCCAAGCTTGCGGCCTCAAAAACTTCTTTCAGTACGGCTTCTGGACGATGAGGAACAAAAAGGACCCAGTAGCTTAGCTTGAATAATCCAAAATTGAATCTGCATTGAGCAAACTATTTCAGGAAACACTGTGCTTGTGACTCAGTTGAAAAGCATTCATCACTTCCTGAGCGACGTGCAGACCAGCCATGTCTATATGCGGGTGCCTCTCGGGTCCTTCTTCGGTGCTGGGAAGATCCTTTTCATCAAGGACCCTGTGTCCATTCAAGAGGTGGTCAATTCCGATGACTTCTGGCGATGCAACCCACTAGACTCTCAGTTTAAAAGGCGGAGAAACACAAGAAACTCGAGTGGCCGCAAGCGGCCGCAAGGTGGGCACCATAGCAAGTGGCCGCAAGTGGCCGCAATCCAGATTAACCAAAGAAAGGAGCCAAGCGACAGAGAAGAGTCAAACGAAAAAAGGAAAGGAGTCAAACGAAAGAGAGGACTTCAAACGAAAGAGAGGACTTCAAACGAAAGAGAGGACTTCAAACGAAAGAGAGGAGTCAATCGAAAGAGAGGACATCAAACGAAGAACGAAAGGAGTCAAACGAAGGTGAGGACTTCAAACGAAAGAGAGGAGTCAATCGAAAGAGAAGACTCAAACCAAAGAAACTACTTCAAACGAAAGAGAAGACTCAAACGAAAGAGTCGAGAGGAGTCAAGTGAAAGAGGAGACTTCAAACGAAAGAAAGAAAACCACTTGTGGCCATTTGAGCATGAAGGATGATGATGGATGATGCACGCTTTTGGCCCCTGAACATTTAACAACTTGAAAAAACATTTCCGCGACGCCTGTTTCTTAAAGATTTGCCTTGCATTTCGAACACCGCGCAGCAGCCTACACACCCTCACGGTACCCGCAGCCACTCGCAGCCATTTGAGTGTACGCATGCTTGCAATACGAAAGGTCTTGAAGCTGTGGGCTAGGACACATGTGTTTGTGTAATATACATTGCTTTGAGGGTGGAAATTGAAATTGCGGAGAACAAGCGCTTGCGGCCACTTGCTCCCACTCTCCTGGAGTGTGAGGGATGATGATGGATGATGCACGCTTTTGGCACCTGTACATTAAAAAACTTGAAACAACATGTCCGCGACGCCTGTTTTTAAAGATTTCATGCTTGCCTTGCATTTCGAATACCGCGCAGCAGCCTGCACACCCTCACGATACCCGCAGCCACTCGCAGCCACTCGACTGGCCGCAAGTGGCCGCTGTGGGTGACTGGGAACAAGTGGCCGCAACTGGGAGCAAGTGGCCGGCGCGGGAGAGTCCGTGCAAGTGGCCTCCCCAGGAGAGTGGGAGCAAGTGGCCGCAAGTGGCCGCAAGTGGTCGCTTAGTTCAATTCCCATCCTGAAAGCAACTCCTCTGCAATGTCAGAAACAATGCCAAAAGATATTGATAGTAAGGGCTCCGCCCTGGTGCCGCCGACCCCTTTTCTTGGGGGACGAGCTGGAAGACCAGAAGCCGGACAGGGATTGCTATAAGCATACACCGGCTATGTGCTCAAGACTCTGTATTCTTGATTCCTTTTACCCGGGCTTAGGCTACACTACGGAGGCGCTAGTGTATGCACAGTCCTTGTCAGGAAAGCTGAGATGAGCTGTGTGCCTGAAACCTTGACATATCACACTGGTGGTGCTTGCTGCCGGCGGCGCTGCTATAACCATACACCGGCTATTTCCTCAAGACACTCTATTCTTGACACCTTTTACCAGTGTTTATCCTACACTACGGACGCCCTAGTGTATGCACAGTCCTTGTGATGTTTACCCCTCGTTCCGGCTGAAGGCATAGATAAGCGGGGGGTAAATCGACCCCCCAGCTTTGCCATAACCATAAGCCGGCTATTTCCTCAAGACACTCCACTCCTCATACCTTTTACCAGTGCTTAGCCTACACTACGGTCTCTAACGTCGCCTTCGGAAGCCCATAGAAAAAGCTTTCTGGGCCAAGCTGCGGCCTGCAGGAACGGGGGCGGTCCACAATGCCTAACGTTGCTTTCGGATCGAAGCCCATAAGAAGAGAAGAGGCAGGCCTGGGACAGGCCAAGAGAAGAGGCAGGCCTGCCAGCTGCCGAGAGGGGTTTGGGGGCGGGGCCCGTGGGTCTCTAACGTCGCCTTCGGAAGCCCATATCTGGGCCAAGCTGGGGCCTGCAGGAACGGAGGCAGGCCTGCCAGCTGCCGAGAGGGGTTTGGGGGCGGGGCCCGTGGGTCTCTAACGTTGCCTTCGGAAGCCCATAGAAAAAGCTTTCTGGGCCAAGCTGCGGCCTGCAGGAACGGGGGCGGTCCACAATGCCTAACGTTGCTTTCGGATCGAAGCCCATAAGAAGAGAAGAGGCAGGCCTGGGACAGGCCAAGAGAAGAGGCAGGCCTGCCAGCTGCCGAGAGGGGTTTGGGGGCGGGGCCCGTGGGTCTCTAACGTCGCCTTCGGAAGCCCATAGAAAAAGCTTTCTGGGCCAAGCTGCGGCCTGCAGGAACGGAGGCAGGCCTGCCAGCTGCCGAGAGGGGTTTGGGGGCGGGGCCCGTGGGTCTCTAACGTTGCCTTCGGAAGCCCATAGAAAAAGCTTTCTGGGCCAAGCTGCGGCAGAGAAAAAGCTTTCTGAGCCAAGCTGCGGCCTTTGTTTGGCCAGTGCAGGAGTGATGCCGACGCAGTAGGGCTTTGAAGGCGGGGGTGGCTGCTTAACGTGGCATGCTGGGGCTTGCGTTTGCACTGGCCACCCGTTCCACCCTCCGGTGTCCCTGGCGCCGCCCCGCTTAGGCAAGGGCTAAGCAGGGGTCGGCGGATATGGCGGAAAGAATGTCAGACAGAATGTCAGAACGAAGGTCAGACAGTATGTCAGAAAGAATGTCAGAAGATATGTCAGAAGACTTGCCGGATAGAACTGCGAGCTCCAGATCTCAGTGTTTCCTGCCGGACCTCAACCGCGAGCTCCGAATCACAGTGGCCCCCGCAAGACCTCAACCAGGAGAAGGGGACGAGGAGGAGAGGATAACTCTGATGAAATCTAGATCTATAGAGCTCCAGATTGCATGAGAGTTTTTTTCTCCTCCTCGTCTTTGCCAAACAAACATGTCAGAAAGAATGCCAGAAAGAAAGTGAGTATGCAAAAAATAATGACAGACGATTGTAAGATATGCCAGAAATAATGACAGAACATATTCTGCGAGGGTTTAAGGTTGGCCGGGGCCGGGCTATGGTTTAAGGCCCCCTGGCCCGGCTAGGGCTTAAGGCCTCAGAAAGATTGCCAGAAAGAATGTCAGAAGATATGCCAGAAATAATGACGGAAGATATTCGGCTGGTCGCCCGGGGCCCGGCTAGGGTTTAAGGTCCTGGGGCCCGGTGTAGGGTTTCCTGTTCTGCCACTGACAGTACCACAGCGCTAGATTTCATCACAGTTATTTTCTCCTCGTCCTCACCAGACAAATATGTCAGAAAATTTGTCAACAATATGATAGTATATATGTCACGACAGGGATCGCTCGAAGTAAAGTAACTTTTGTTTGAGTGGCGACGTTTTGAGAGTTGAATCGCAATTTGATTTGCTTGAACTGAGGTCGTTTTCAGGTCTTGGTATACATGGTGGATAGGATTGGACAAATTTGTCGATGACCACATTGTGGCTCGTCTCAACCAGTCCTAATTCGACTGTGGCAGGTGAAAGAGCATTCTTGAGACTTCGCATATGGGCCCTGCAAAATAGCCTTGCATCCTTAAAGTGGGACTGTCAATTTATAGTGTTTCTGCCCTTTAGAGGCTATATCTCTGACGTTCAAACCCAGGAGTCCTGACATGTTACAGTACACTTAAGCCAGAATCAGCTCTGGCTTTGTGGGTTTTTGTTCGAAGGCGTTTGCGTTGGTCGTGGCTCTTGTAAGATTCTGATGCCGGCCAGTGTGGCTGAATCTGGTTCTGTCCAAAAATGGTTTTAGTCCCTAGTCACCGCGTGTGTCCATGCGTGAACAAACTCAAGGAACATGTTGAGCATCGTGAAGGTTTTCATAAGTTTGTGCAAAAAGTCTTGAATCGGATTGTTTTTCAGCAGTTCATTCTTGTGCTGGATTTGCCTTTATTTTGCACCATGTGTGGAGTGAGCAGCCACTTATTCCGCTTGCTGGTGTCTGTCGAAAAATGTGCTAGCCCAGAGCCCTTGACCCTCACAGACCATGAAGAGACCACGAGCGACTGGAGCATGCGTAACCACTGACGTATACTGCGGCCACCAGCACATAGCGAAGCAACTCAAGATGTCGCCCCAATGTGCACCAGAAAGTAACTCATTGAATCGCTTCAGGCCGTATGTTCGCGCAAGTTGTACAGCGAAATTTGCATGCTTGGCAGGAGGTTGTATTTTTCTTCCCTTGTACGTAGCACGGGGCTGAAATCCGAATCTCAAAAACTAGAAATACCAAACACAGGTGAGCAGGTAGCGCCCCCTCCAACACTCCACGCTGCAATTTACGATTCCACAGATTTCATATGAGCGAATGCCAGGGTCTAGAAGGGGCCTCGAGTAAGAAAAACAAAATACAAAGCGCTTGCGAACACTGATTACGGTACGTAACGTACATGACAACAGGACGCTGCGGAGGCTCAATAGTTGCTTCAGGCCTTTCTCACCAGGAATAGACGGAATAGATGCGTCTCTTTGTTGGATGTCTCGCCCATTTTTGCGTTCGCAGGAACCGTCCAACGCACGAAACAAGATCCAACTAGTGCCAGGTTGATGGCGTAGTCCGATCCAATGAAGGTGCAAGCCGAGGCTTGCTCAACATGAATTTGTAGTGACCATCCACTCCAGATTTTTTTTTCGTTAAAGGGCAAACCGGGCGACCATCCACTGAGGCCCAGTCAATCTTTGTCCTTCTGGACGGCGAGCAACATGAAAAGCTCCGAGCGATCTTTCTGGACTTTGGCAGGAGGATTGCAGATCTGCAGTCACAGGACTGGAACCAGACTGCAACCATCCATTTCTTTTCGCTTTCACCTTTGATTGGGGGTTTGCGACAGACCTTTTGCTTTTCTACTTGGATATTTCAAGAACCTTATTTATCCCAGGGAAACCGGCAACCAGAACCACCGAATCGCGACATGGCACGCGTGATAGTTCTAAAACTCTTCAATATATATATATATACATAAAAAAACATTGATAGCTTTCAAGTCCAGATCCCGCATCCAATGAAACGGGAGGGTTAGGCTCAACATGTTTCTAGGAGGACCACAGCCCTCGCGTGAAGCGTCCGCTGTGTCCGCAAAGAAGAAAAGAACAAAAGGGGGAAAAATAGGTTACAACTGTTGGGCGGGTAGTCTTTGCTGCACAAATTTTTGTGCGTCCCACCCTCCCTTTCTTGAGGCGAGCGCGCGCGATAGAAAGATCCAAGAAGATCTCAAAGAAGAAATGAACAACTGTGAAACTTGAAAAGCTCACCCGTTAATGCTTCGGATACATCGGCATCGAAACATCGGACTATTGGATCCGATTCTATTTTCGTATAAAAGATAAGAGTTTATGCAAAACCGCGCGTGCGAAGCATCCAAAACGGGCGCATCAAGAATTCTAGTTGTCTAATTTTGCCCAAAGCAACAATTTTCCCTGGGTCTAATTAAAGGGAACATCATTTCTTTGAAATGAGTGCACCCAAGTTATGGATTGTTTGAACTTGCTAAGCTTTGCCGCCAGGATGCCTTGGCCAAGAATGCTTTGGCAATCCTCCAGGCACGAGTCCAAGGAGAAAATAGCTTATTTGACATCTTGCAGGAGGTGGCTACGAGAATTCTGCTGGAGGTTTTGGTTGGATCCTCTTTGCCAGCAGGATGGATTCTCGATAAGACCTAGATTGCAGGTGTGTTTGTTGCCGTCAGCAAACGGGAAGTTTTCCATCAGACCAAAAAATATTGCAGGAGCTTTGAAACCCAGAATAACAAACCAAATAATGATCTGAGATGAGGAGGGAGAAGGAAACAGAGAGACATCTGCGTAGACCAGCGACATAATCGGCAAACGAGCTCTGCAAGGGCTGGTGTCACTGTGTTCTTGTGGCGCCCGATGATAGGGGTCTTTCAGGTTCCAGAGAAGGTTCCGCGTAGAGGTTCCAGATTCACGCTTTCGTTTCTATGTTCCGCGCTTTTGATAGAGAGAGCTCCGCTTTTGGAGCCCGTAGCGCTCAGGTTCACTTGTTGGCATTTGGGAAAAGCGGATTTGGATAGAACAACTGCTTGAGCGCATTGTCCACATGGAGGCTGTAGAAATTTGCAGGCCTTGCTTGCGTTCTCACCAGACAACCCTCTAGGTTGAAATGTTTACATTGAAGCGACCTCCAATTTTTCAGTTGGCAAATCCTTGAGTCTCTAGGGCCTAGGGCTTAGGGGTTTCACTTATCTGCGCTTTGGAATTATCGACTAGATTTTGTTGGGCGTTCTCCTTGAGCATAGATTTGAGTTGGACAGTCATTCAACAAGTAGTTGGTGTTGGGCTTGAATGGAAAAGCAAACATTCAAGTTGTTTTTGACATATTTCCAATAACTTTATGTTAGAAGGTTCCAGAAGTTTCCGCCGAGTCTTCCTCCGAATCTTCCTGTTTTGAAGATGTTTGGTTTCTTGTCGCTGTCATTTTGGCACCGTGAGCACTGTTTGTCTGCGTGCGGGAAGATAGCAATTCATGTGGACACGTGATTGGTGATACAGACGTTCTCAGAACAACGCAAGTATGAAAAGTGCGCCCTCGCAGAAAAGCCCCTTTGGAGTTCCCAACCTTCAAACAGCTACCACCTACCAAACACTGACAGAGCACGTGCAAACCAAGGCAGTAGAAAGCATGACGACCCCAGTTTATTTAACGCACAGTGTGGCATGGCTATAGAAAACCACGATTCAGTAAACGTTTCGACCTTAGATTCAGCTCTTGGGACAGAAAGCACCAGCAAGGACAGAACGGCGATTTCTTGATCTCATCAATCGAATCATGGAGGCTGTCTTCAATATTCAATGTCCTTCTCGAATGGATCAGGAGGATCTTCGATATATTTTTGACCACTTCTCGACCAACTCCGCCGAGAACAGCTTGACTCAGCACCTTCGTCGGTGCGGGTGCTCGCAGGAACGAATTGGACACCTCAGATGGGTTTCCAATGATACTACTACTTGAGTTACGTCGTATTTTCAGGTTGAAGTCGCATCTTCATTGGCGCCTGCAAAACAGTGTTTTCTTAATCTTGGCAATATTGAATTTTAAGAAACTGTTGATTCTCTCTTCGCGCCACCGGAGTCTTTTTTTGTTACACCTGAGCGCTTAGGTCTATTGTTTTCGACGTATTTCCCTTCCCTTGCGGAACTGTAGACTCTTGTGTGTAGTAGAGTGTTTTTTGATAATCGCATTGAAGTCATCCATCAAAGGGTTGAAAACATCCGTAACAACATAGAAAAGCAATTACCAACACCATGGAACAAGAATAAACACATTGAACACAACAAGGAACACATTGAAAGAATTGAACACATCCGAAACCATTAGGCAAATAAATACATCAACGCATTAAAATCAATGAAACTATTGGCTAAACACACAAAACCATTGAAGAAATCAATCAGTCTGGCAGACGGCTATGATTGATGCACAAGTTACCAACCTGTCAAAACCAGCGCCCCAAGGCGAACGGCCGTGATTGATGCGCACATTTCAAGCAAACAGCTCATATCGACTGCGCGCGCGCAGCGTTCATTGTCTAAAGGTAGACTTTGCTGGATTCATTGGCGTCCGCAATGAATTATTTCGAAACATGATGTGATGTGACTTTAGCGTCGTGATGTGACTTGGGATTTTCGGGGCGCCCGCCACACGAGATGTGTCTTCTGCTGCGTGATATGACTTAGGTCGAGTGCTTATATAGTTTTGCCCACTGAAAGCAGTGAACATTTTTGGTTCATGCTTGCTTTTCGCAGGAGCAAACCAAGCACAATCTCCTTGCGTTGATGTTATTGGGAATGCAGTCGTTGGCCAATGGCCCATATTGGCAGATTCTTCGGATCTACACGGAGCGTGGGCTTCTAAAGCAAGTGCGGGAGAATCCGCAGCGAGTCTGGGCAGTGATCGTTGAGGAGCTACACAATCATCCGCCTTCTGCGCCCATTTTGATGCCTTACAGGGCAAAGCGGAATTCCACCATCCGGGGGCAAACCATCCTTGAGGGAACCGTCGTGGTGATCTCCCCGCCATGGCTACTTGGCAGATTTTGTCTCATTGATGTTGTATCTCTTGACCTTTTTGGTTTCCTGCCAATTCAGTTTGCCACAAGAGTTTGGATCCCTTCCCTTATTCCAACATCTAGACAGAAGGGCTTGAATGAACACATGACTGCAGCGCAAGGTCACACGCTATGATGGGCGGAGCCCCGCAGGTGGGTTTCTGCTTGTCCCACGCTTTTGGGGATGTCATGTGAGTGCTCGTTCGATATCATGTGGTCAAAGCCTTGTGATTCATGTGCAACTTTTGTGATGTCAATGTTTTTTGACAGTTGTCATCATCATTAGGTCTGAGTCTGAGCATGAGAGGAGTCAACTAATCCAACTGGTTGCCCATTTCAACGAAGCTCTTCGCCCATACGCAGCTTGCAGAATGCAATGGGGCAGTGCGCCCATCCAAGGACCGTAGTGAGAATTTCACTTTGCAGCTGGCACTCTTTGTGAAGTTTCTCAGGAGCTACGCCTTTGGAGCGAGCACACGTTCTTCCTGCCCTGTGAAAGGTTTCGAGCTCAAGACATTGAAGGATGTCTTTGGAACGTTGCTCATAAGCAACCCCTAGGCTCGTTAGGAAGTTTGCATGCTGAGGATCTGTTCAAAGCCAACCTCGTTACTCGTGCATGATGTGAGGTTTCAACATGGCAACGATGTACAGCGTGATCACGGGCTTTGTTGACTTGTACGACATGAAAGCTTCTTTGCTTTAAGTGGGGCAGAAGACGACAACACACTTTGCTTCGCAGCCTTAGGTTCATGATCCTCAACGCCTTTGCTGTATGAAACAGGCAGAGCATATGAATTTGCATATTGTGAACAGGCCTTCTGTGCAGCTGCAAGTCACGCTGCAAGAACGCAACCAAAGTCATGTGACCAAGCCTTGCGGGCAGCAGCCGGTGATGTCGCAAAGCCCTTTGTGGGCTTGGTTGCCTTTTTTGTGTCCCGTTCTGTGTCTTTCCGCTGCGCTCCTGAGCTTGAAGTTGAAGCCAAAGTGATATCGACCTCGCTTCTTTTCCCACAACGGTGATGTCAACTCTTGGGTAGATTGTTCTGTTGTGATGACTTTGAGCTCAGGGCAACTTGCATCCCAAACTTAGAGTTTGAGTTTCCTGAATTGCCTGGAAGACCGCAAAGTCAACGTCGTTGCTGCATTCACTCTGTTCTGTTTTTTCTTCGCCCAAGCTGGCAATGTGGCATTCCATGAAGATCATCGCGAATCTTCATGCTGACTGTCCCGTCCAGCAATCTTCATGCTGACTGTCCTTTCCACATCAAATGCACAGTGATGATGTTTGTGCGTTTGTATTTGTTTTCCTCAAGGGAGGGACTCTACACAAGATCAGCGAAGATTTCCCCCTGGCGACAGAAGGAGTCAGAAGAGTGGAGTGGCAATGCTTTGGGTCCATATGCTGTGACATGTTCCTTTGTTTTTCACGCTTGTAGCTTATGGTTTCAGTGCTAGCGCATTGTTTTGGTTTATCATGGTATTCTAGAGTGCTGGGAGCTGGCGGTCCACCAGCAGGTGGAGAGTCTGCCAGCCGGTGCATAGGGAGTTGCCTAGCGGGAAAAGGTTAGGCAGTTAGGCAGACATGTCTTTGCCCAGGTGAGGTGGTCCATGAATTCTCCAGTAGCCCTTCCTGGCCTCACTACTAGTTGAGGAATGAACGTACGACCTTCTGGAATCAAGTTTCAAAAGTGCTACACAGTCTAGGCTTTTCCAACATGCTTGCATGTCCCAGGTAATGTTGACATACGAGTTTCCATAACAGCTGCTACAGCCGTGAATCAGTTTAAGAACACAGCTTATGAATGTTCAGCAGAAGCTCACTGGTAAAATTTTGGACCACCTGACAGATTCGGACTGCGCGAGCGTATCTGGCTCTTATCCTGGTTCACCGATTCGCTGCGAGCTGTCCAGTACAGTGCACGATTTTTGCCGTTGTCTCTCGACAGCAGCTTTCCATATGTCGGAAGTTTGACTTCTTCCTTCGACTACTTTAATTCTTTCCAGGGCCTTTCCCTCCCCTTGCAGAAGTGCCTGCGGAGCTGGTCTCCGGCCGTCCACCAAGAGACAGCCATCGCTGAGGCGAAGCAAAGAGAAGGCAGACAATGAGCGATTTGTAGGCCCCGTCATGTCGCAGGGCCCGTAGTTTGTTGAAAGCTATAGGATCTGCGTAAGCTCCCTCGGTGAAGTTTTTTCAATTATTCAGTTGCACCACATTTGATAGGCTTTGCGGCTTTGAGGGGCGCTGCTTTTTTTCAAGGTTGCGTCCAAACGATATAAATACATATACATTGTGCCTGAGCAAACCGTTTTTTAGCTTTTAGCATTTGGCAAAGGCATGCAAGTGACATCGATATTGATGATCTGAGTAGGTGGTTCCCTTTGGCAGGTGCGTGGGTGAAAACAGGGCCGGAGCATGCACTTGCTCGCTTGCTCGCCACCAAGGTAAGGTCAGGAGCGTTCCAGATCTGTGGTACCATTCATTTGGTGCAGGGGCCCAGAGTTTCGACAAAAGATGGTTACGTGGAGGTTGCGCAGAGCTGGGAGGAAGGTCACAAGACAGTTTCGCTGAGAAAAGCGAACAGCAAGTCGAGAAGCTGCGAAGAAAGTTGAGGCGCAAAGAACAGTAGAGGCTAGTAGAAGTATAGCAAAGGCAAAGCGGGGTGAAGTGAAATAGGTGATAGGTTTGCAAAGTTGGCATGGACGCAGACAGCTGCTGCCAAGAATGTTAGAGCGTGATTTATCCATTCTGCCAGTTGCGGTTCAAGGGAGAACTTGCCTTCGATGCGCGCCATGGCGGGGTTCATGAAGCTCTTTGCGGCCACTTCAGTTCCTGGCATCCTGCTTAATTGGCATGTGGAAGTCAAACGCGCTACATTGTTTGTGCGTGTAGTCTTAAAAGCAAACTCGATATTTACTGTATTGGATCTAAAGATTCGTTTGACTTTGGCTGCAAGCCCCGCCATTGCCGATGCCAAGTCTTTTGGCCGATTCTTCAGAGCAGCCAAGGAGTATTGCGCATCCCTGGCCGTTGGGTGTGGAGCGAGAATAGCATCGGTCCCTGGGGCTATGTAGTGTTGCAAGAGGAGTAGCTGATGGCTTCTTGCTTCTGTTTTGGAACGGTTTGCTTACGGGCCCCCTGCGCAGGATGCAGCAACGCTGGTGGACCCTCCATATTTCTCGCAGGACTGGGTGCGAAATTATGTTTTTTGTTCCAGAATTTGGAAATAATGTGAGACTGTTGGAGCCAGACTGACACAGGAACTTGCGACACAAATCCGCGAGATAGCTCCAAAGGGCGTGTCTCACATTCTCCTCACCCATGATGATTTTGTGCCTTGGCTGCAAGAGAATGGACAGAAGCAGGAGAACATTTTTTTTGGCCAGTGGGCTGTTTGCCCTCTTGGGAAGTTCTCATATGATGGCTGCGCTGATGCAAAGGATTCGGACTTTAAAGCGGAATACACCGAAAACTTAACAGGTAAGGGCCAAGGGCCAGGCCAGGGTTTTTTTCCTGCTGTCAGCTCGCTCCGCCCAATGTTTGACCGGAGCCTTTGAAGTGTCTCATTTAGGACTTCTGACAGGGTAACAGGTGACATCAACAGAAATCCATTGCTTGGTTTTTCTATGCATGTTGTAGGAGTCTTTGGATGGTGAGAGATGGTTTCGGCTGCCTGTGTGAAACAGTAGCCATGTACAAATAGACGAAGGGGCCATACTGCACGTCATAGTGAATGACATGGAATGAAGAGGGATGAGCAAGAGTCAAAAGGGGAAAAGTTGCTCGTCCCGAAACAAAAAGGTCGCAGGCCAAAGTGGCCAAAACACGCCAACACCATTTTTTAAACATGAGTTGGTATGCGCAGGATCGGTTTCTACTTCTTTTCAACGCAAAACTGCCCATTCAGGTTGGAATGAGTGGCCATGAGCAGTGGCATCAAGAATTTGACCAACAACCTTTGCGTGTGGCACACCGTGCTGATTGTCATGGGCTAGAGCTTCAACTTGACGGTCCTGGCCCTTGGAAGGCTGGAAAGAAATCTTCAACGCCGGTACCGGGTACCTTTTGGTCTCCCATGTTCGCAAAACTCTAACTGTAACTGTTTTCAAGTGCACCATCCCATCTTCTTTGAAGGTTGGAGACTTTGATGTGTACCATGTGCCGGGCCACTCCGCTGGATCTCTCTTCTACGCGCTTCCCAAGTTGTCGGCGATTTTCACGGGGGACCGGGAGGGGAGTTTTGGGCTTCCAAAGTCAGAGCCAAGACGAACACTATTTTGAAGCTCAAAACTGATTCATGGGATATTGCAGGGTCAGAAGCATGCGTTTTGGAAGAAAACACAGTTTGGCTTTGTTACAGGCTACAAGCACATGCAATGCTTGTGCACGCATATTAACAAATGCCTTAAATTCCTTGTCAAGTTTCTCGTAATTTGCTTGGCATGTGCACATCAACAGGACAGCTTGGGTGATTGGTCTGGCCCCACCGGCTTCCCGCAGCATTGCCGTTTCGGGCGAAGCCGCCAAGCTGCTTCGTTGCGAGGCACGAGGGTCGAACGTGCGAGGTGGAGATTTGACCAAACTGTCCATGTGGGTACTAGTTGTCCCAGTCTGGGACACCGTCTTTCAAGTTGTGGGCCGTTTTTTCTTCTTTCATATCCCATAATTTGTTTCCCGATCTGGTTGCCGTATCCATTCTCTTCTCCAAGTCCATCTTTCTGTTTTTGGCACTGAGTGTGACTGAACGAAGGCTTTACCAGCGCTGTGTCGCTTGGTCGAACTGTTTGGGGGCAGAGAAGATTATTGGAATCCCATGGGGCAAGACCAGCTTGGAAACAAACGCTTCGAGAGAGCAAAAACAACTCAAAAGGGGAATTGAACACGACAACTGCGCAGGCTTTGCGAAACATGCCGGGTCATGGCAAGCCGTGCTGCCGGGTCATGGCAAGCCAATGCCGCTTTGGATGAAACGACATTGCCCCCGCACCTTGCCTGGCTGCAGAATTCACCGCGCTGCCGAGGTATTTTCAAAAGGAAGCGCAGTGGCTCGAAGCCATCAATCAGGCAGCGCGTGGGTTGGAGGGTTCTGTGCTTAGTTGCAGAGGGGCACGAACTACGAAGTTGAGACGAATTGCAATGTTAAAATCGCATCTGTAATCTGTAGCATTGAAACTTGGCGCAGCACGCAGCGAGTCTTGAACTTGTGGTTTGCCACAAATTCTTACACTGGTTGGATGCTCTTCAGGGATGTTGCTGAGGTTAGGAACAATGCCAATGTGCTCGCTGGAGGAGGCATCCAGTTGTGTGCCCCGTGGGATTGTAACAGGTCCTCATGTTAAGAATGAAAAGCTCAAGCAGCAATGGCCTTTCTGTGCTGTTCTGATTCCTTTCTTTTTCGTTCATCATGGGGGGCCCAACTATTTTACGGACAGAAGCTTGGTTGCAAATCTTTACCATTTCCAGATCTAGCGAAGTATCTGGGCCGCAGACACCAGCTTCGGTGGGACCATTCTTTGCTGGCCCCTTGCTGACATGCAATTCTTTGCCTGAGCCTCATTCGCGACATATTCCCGGCGCAGGCATGGCACTTCGATGATTCCTGTTCCTGGTAGTCCTGGTGCATTGATTCACCGAGTGCTGTCGGGTGCGTTGGGCAATTTTTGAGTCTTGTTTGTACAGGATCCCTGAGCCTAAATCCACCCTCGCATTCTTTTCCTAGATTTCTGTAAACGATGAAGCTGGCTCTTGTTTGGCTGGATCTTGGCTGGGAATCAATTGGTCCATGCAAAGCTGGCTTGGGCCGACTATGATGCATTGTGCTGTATTGCAAAGTGTTGTGGAAGCTCTTTATGTAGGCTAGCTATGGCTTGAGTATAGACTGACTCTCCCACAACAAGAGCTTTCACACCCTGCACATAGGAGAGCATCATGTTTTGTGGTTCGTCTCTTCAGCTGCCTTTCCTGCGCAGCCACTGCACGAGACGCCGCATCAGAGACAGAGCTGAAAACGAGGCTTTTAGGCACCAGAGCCTTTCCATTGGGCGGAGTCTGAGTCAACCGCTTGCCGTGTCAATTTTCCGCGGTTTAAACATGTCTCGCCAGATTTCGGAATGCCACCGTTGCATTCACGCATTGCTAGTGTTTTTCAAAAGCAATTAATTTGGGCTCAGAACTGGCAGATCTTCTGAACCATGGAATCCGTGGAGAATGCTTCCGCTAAGGCGGGCATAGTGTGATGCGTTGCTTGCTTCACGCTGATGAAGTTTCATGCTTTTTGTCGATTTTTTTCAACCTCTTGCCTTTTTGGCAAGGCTGTCTCGGACGTTATTTTGGCGCGTTATGCCTGCAAGACTTTCCAGGATGAGGAGGTCAGCGATGATACAATTCACAGGTTGCTTCACCTGAGCAGTCGCGCGCCGAGCGCTTTGAACACGCAACCCTATGTTTGCGTCGTTGTCAAGTCGGATTCAGGCAAGGAAGCATTGGCGCAAGCCATGGATGGTCCAAACCCCGCGCATGTGAGAGAGTCATCCTTCTCACTGGTGTGGGCAGCAGACCCAAATCCAGAGCTCCCTCCCGATGCGCCCGAGTTTGCAGCCTCATTGCTGAAAGAAGTGTCGTTGAAGCAGCAGTCGACGCATGAAGCTTGGGCGGTGAAGCAAACGATGATTGCTGTTGGGTTCTTCCTCATTGCAGCCACTGCACATGGGCTCCATACAAATCCAATGGAAGGTTTTAAGTCTCAAGCAGCCGTTCGTGAAGCAGTTGGGCTGCCAGACAAGTATGACGTACCTGTGGTCGTTGCAGTTGGCTTTGCCAAGGACCCCAGACCAGCAGCCTCAAGCCGCCGACCGCTGAACGAGACGTTCTTCTGCAATCGGTTTGGCCAGTCGTTCAAAGCCACGTGACAACCCCGCAAGCAGAAGGCGCACTTCGATGATTCCTGTTCCTGGTAGTCCTGGTGCATTGATTCACCGAGTGCTGTCGGGTGCGTTGGGCAATTTTTGAGTCTTGTTTGTACAGGATCCCTGAGCCTAAATCCACCCTCGCATTCTTTTCCTAGAATTCTGTAAACGATGAAGCTGGCTTTTGTTTGGCTGGAACTTGGCTGGGAATCAATTGGTCCATGCAAAGCTGGCTTGGGCCGACTATGATGCATTGTGCTGTATTGCAAAGTGTTGTGGAAGCTCTTTATGTAGGCTAGCTATGGCTTGAGTATAGACTGACTCTCCCACAACAAGAGCTTTCACACCCTGCACATAGGAGAGCATCATGTTTTGTGGTTCGTCTCTTCAGCTGCCTTTCCTGCGCAGCCACTGCATGAGACGCCGCATCAGAGACAGAGCTGAAAACGAGGCTTTTAGGCACCAGAGCCTTTCCATTGGGCGGAGTCTGAGTCAACCGCTTGCCGTGTCAATTTTCCGCGGTTTAAACATGTCTCGCCAGATTTCGGAATGCCACCGTTGCATTCACGCATTGCTAGTGTTTTTCAAAAGCAATTAATTTGGGCTCAGAACTGGCAGATCTTCTGAACCATGGAATCCGTGGAGAATGCTTCCGCTAAGGTGGGCATAGTGTGCTGCGTTGCTTGCTTCACGCTGATGAAGTTTCATGCTTTTTGTCGATCTTTTTCAACTGCAGGTGATCGTTCGATCAACCTTCCTGGTCTTCCTGGAAGTAACAGAGGAACTGGATGAGCTCAACTCGAAGTCCAAGCGCTGGGCGCGTTCAAGGAGCGTGCCGTTGCCTTGTTTGGACTCCAAGGACTGTTGGGAGAAAAGCCAAGCAGATACATTGTTTTACATGATAATATGTAGGAAGAGACCTTACAAAAGGAAAGTTCACATGGTCCAAGTACATTTCGTTCATTGGGACACTTGTGGCAGGATGTGAATGCCACGTCCCAGGTTGTTCAAAAGCAACTGCGGGAGATGAACTTGCGCTTGTCAGAATCCCCAGATGTGGAGATGCGTCGTGCCTTGCTGCAGCTCATCCGACAACATGGTACAACACTTCCCACAGGAAAGCGTGGGATTTTTCTGTCGAATTTGGCCAGACATGCGTATAAGATCAGGAAGAAGAGATTGATGAGGCTGGTCCGCTCAACAGACTTTCAGCTCGGGCTGGATCTGACTGCTCATAAAGAAGCGGTCTTTTTAGTATAGTCATAGTCTGTACAGTCTTCTTCAGCATGGTGCTGAAGTCAACCAGAGGTGCTTTCTAAGTTAGAGGCATTTCTTTGGTTGAGGCTCTGCTAACAAAAATTCCCAACACATGTTTTGGCCCCTCTGCTTCTATGCATTATATATGTACTACAACCACTGCAGAGATCAGAGCAGACACCACACAGATGACTGTAAGGCAGTTGTCAACCAGTTGCCGTTTTTGGAACCGAATCTCGCTTCAGAAAGGAAAAACGATCAGACCGGAGAGCGTGGGCTTCGGGGCCTTGGTCGATTTCCATCGAAGAGGCCTCGTTGGCGTCAGCGGACGTTCAGCCCCTTCTGCTCAAACCGGACTTGTGGGCTCAGCCCCATTGCCTTCAAGCAACAACACCGGTAACAATCTGGCACCCGCAAATTTGAATTCGACACCTAAGACGCAGGTTCCAAAGAGGCGGGTAGGCGTGTCGTTGACGCACATGAAGCGTATATTTTTTTCTCTCGCGAAAAGCGACCTTGAAATATTTCGGACCCTTGCTGCAGAGTTTCTTGGCCAAATCCGGACTCCAGCTTGAGCGCTATGAAGGAACAGGATCAGTTGGATGAGATCAAAACACTAAATCAAGTAAAATACAAGACTCCAGAGATGAAAAAGCCAATATCAGAATCATGTTGCTTAGGGAGTAAATTCCAGACTCAATCATTGCAGATCATGACGCGCTGGGTGCATACCGCTGTGCGAGTTGGCTGTTGTTTTGTGGGCTTTGGCCTCGCAGGCAGCGTAGAAAAACTTTTCCAATTGGGTTGTCCTTATGCGGATCATCACCATCATGCAAAGATAAGTCTATTCCGACTCAAACATCTATGAAACAGTAGAAGGGTTTGCTAGGAAATCGCTAAGCCTATGGTAAGAAACGTTGCGAAGAAATCTGCAAATCCAACAAATGAGCTACCGACATCTACCAACCAAAGAATTCAAGCAAAAACAAATTGGATATCCTTGCTTGAAAAGCTTTGCAACATGTGTTTCAACGCGAGAATACACAATGAAACAGATTTTGGATATTTCAGGGCTCTTTTTTGGGCCCCAGGTTTAGGTGCCAGCTGCTTCGCATCGCCCATCTCTGCTGCGGAGTCTTATGGCTTTCCGACGACCGATGAAGATACACTTCGATGGGCGATGTCCTCAGTTGAAACCCTTGGGGCATCCAAGTATCAAATATGGTCTCAAGCTTTCTCGTTTTTTAATGCCTCTTTTCTTTGCGTGCATGTTTCTTTCTCAACGAGATTGTGAACTCGGTCTATTTATTCTCTTCGTTTAGTTTTGTTTGATGATGTTTGTGTCGTTTCTAGGGAAAATGAGGAGGTGATTGTGCTTCCATGTTTTGGGATTTGTTTATTGTTGAACTCGTAAGTAATGAATGGGACAACCGGTGCGGATTGCAGTTCTTTGGAGTCAAAGTCGTGTTCGGTTCATTGGTGTATGTCAAAGCCTTTGCTGAATGGTTTTTGTTTTGTTCATCGAAACGTCCTTCCAACTTACGACCGCGTTCAAGTGTCAAACATATTGCATCCTTTATGTTCGTATTGTCTCAGCGCTAGCTTTTTGAATGTTGTTGATACAATTAAAACGCACAAGGTTTGCCGTGTAAAAGGTGCATGTTAATTCTTGTGATGGTAAACATTGGGTCGTCTTTCAAAGATGCAGAATGGAACCTGTCCCGGGTTGGTTTCAGTTTGTTCCCCTCGTACTTCGTAGCCCGCCTGCTTTCTCAAAGGTGAAGGTGACTGGCATTCGCGATCTCAGCCTAGGAGTGCTTTTTGTTTCCTTTCGTCGTGTTGAAAGCTTTTTTTTGTGTCCGTCTTGGGCCGTTCAAGATTTTGATTGTGTTGCAGAAGCTTTATTCAGAAAAAAACAGATACTATATGATACTATTCTCACGGGGTTATTTTGTTTCCAATCTCTTGGCCGTCCCTAAAGATGTTGTTGTTTTCGTTATTGTATTCCACCATATTTTTGTCAACATTTACATCCCGCCCGGCTTACTTCTGTTTGACCTCACCTCGTCCCCACTGACCTCACCTCGTCTCATCTCATCTCGCCCATGTGACTCCCCTCGCTGAATGCAGAACGAAGGGTTCCCGTTTGTAGTCTGGGGGTCTGGGGGCTGGGCCTGTGTTTGCGTCGCCGCCGCCGTCGCCGTCGTTCATTCCCTGCCATTAGGGAAAGCTTTCGATTGTGACTTCCGAGCTTCGGCTTTTGACGTGAAACGTCGTGGTAAATGGCGCGTTCAAAATCAAAAGCTTCGTGCGTCGTGTCGCGTCAGAGTGGTTTTGCGTGGCAGGGGCAGTACTTCTGAGGTTGTGGAAGTCCATGTCGCGTGGAAGTCCGCGCGGCACTTTGGATGTCGAAAGGTGTTGTTGCGCGAAACGCATTGGCAGAGCTGCGTGCAAGATGTTGAAAGTGCAGATTCCATGGCAAGGGCTTGTGCAAACAGAACATTGTGTCAGTTGTGTCACATTGCTGTTTTGCGTGGCAGGCGCACTCCTTCGGACGATGTCCAGAGGTCGTTGGCGCCGCTCTCGTCGAAGCTATTCAAGTTGTTGGGCACGTTCGCCTTTTTGACGTGTGACGCGCCAAGGTGTTTTCCTTGAAGTGTCTCTGGCACCGTTTTCTGCGGACTGTGGGGAAAGCATTTCCAAAGTGGCTGGCCCTCCTCTCGCCCCTTCACCGCTACATCCGCTTCGCTGTGTCTTACAAGACTTCCTCCCAGGAGTGTCTTACAAGAGTGTCAAAAGAGTGTCAGACAAGAGTGTCCTGCAAGAGTGTCCTGTAAGAATGTGATAGAAGAGTGTCAGGCAAGAGTGCCCTGCAAGAATGTTCTGCGAGAGAGTATACAAGTGTCTTACGAGAGTATGGTGTAGCTGGCAACATGAAGATACAAACATACGGACAGACAGACGTTAGTATGGGACTCCAAGTTGCCTTGAATGAAGATGCGGGCTTGCAAGATTGAATTTGGTTTTGGCACCATGCTGCCTTGCCTTTTCCAGACAAAATGAAGACGCCGAACCAACTTGCTTTTGCGTTTGTCAAGGCCAACCCTGAAGCTGAAGCCAAGCCACCGTCATGAGTACACGTTTTGAAGCTTATGCCAATCTGTTGACGGCAAAATTTCTAGGTGGACAGCGCAGTCCGAACAAATTCTATATTTACGATCTTGAAAACGTCGAAGGGTTTAGGCTTTTGTTTCCTTGAAAAAGGAGTGTCATAAAAAGGAGTGTCATGAAACAAACCCAGAACCTTTCTATGTCACACTCTTTTCAGAAGCGCGCTGGTGTCATCCTGCGCATTTGTCAGGACTAATCACGGTAGACCTTCCATGCAGTTGGTTTGAGCGAAACATGTGGTTATTTGACATGACAGGAGTGGCTACCTTGGCGCTGTTCTTCCTCTATCCGCCCGCCATTCGAGTCTTTGCGCCGTCAGCCATGTTTGTGACGCTGGGGGATGCCGTGACAAGGCTGATTTTAAGACAGCATTCCGCATGAAGGCAGAAATTGTTGAACAAAGGACACCGTGATCCGTGAACCAACCAAGAAGCCGGTCTAGATGGATGACCTTCATGGCCTTGTAGGGCTTAGTTCGATAGCAGGAGTTGTGACACACATCAGTGTTGGGAGCCCCCAAAAAGGCTAATAGGGCTTTGGTAGTATTTGCTTTTCGCACAGATCGGCACCAAGGCCATGACGATCGACCGTCCGTTCCCAGAATCTTGGAAAGCTTGGGTTTGGCGAAAAAAACGTCTATATCGTATAACAGATTTATGCCAATGCGCCAATAGGTTTTGCAGATTTCTGATCTTGCCAAAGCTTTGTGTTTTGCAGGGCAACCTGGTGTCGTCTATATTCAAGCGTTGGCATTGGCAAGCATTAACCAGATTGTAGGTTGCAAATGTCTGGTTGGTTTGTTTTTGGGTTTGTTCGCTTTGCTTTCAATCGTTAATTGATTGGCCCAGGCGCCTTACCAACACCATTTCGGCTCGCTGGTTTTGCTGGTGCTGTCGGTCTGTGCCTGGTTGGATCCGCGCTTGGACATGAGTGACCAGAAGTACCAGTGAGGGGTGCAAAGCCAGGCGAGGTGAGGAGAGCAGATGGACATCTACTTCTTCACAATGAGTTGAACTTGTAGATGTTCATCGGATGTTCTGCTTCTAAGATGTTAATCGAATTTATTCCCCAAACAGCTTCCTCTTGGGATTCTCCAATGCTTTGCTTCTGAATGTGTGCATCTCAGTCCCGGGCTCCTGCGGCCACCTTTGTTTGGACCTGTTTTTGAACCTGCGTTATGTCTAATCATTTCATGTTCCAATGTGTTCCAATCATTTCATGAGTTCCCAATTTCAGGTTCTGTACGGACCTCATTCTGGATCAAGTTCAGTTCCTTTCGTTTCTTTTGGTTTCAGCCTGGGTTTATGTGCCTGAGTTGCTCCTTCCCAAAAGGTTCAATTGATCTGTCAATCTTCGCTACCTTGTGCCTACCTTGTGCATTGTAGCCTCCCTTTTACTATTTACCTCCTTTTGTTCTTGCTGGCTCTTGTTTTCTTCCTCCTCATGATTTTGAATATTTAGCTTAGTATGTCGTGATTGCGACATATTCCACTGTGCAGGCATGGCGCTTCGATGATTCCTGTTCCTGCTAGTCCTGGTGCATTGATTCACCGAGTGCTGTCGGGTGCGTAGGGCAATTTTTGATTTTTGTTTGTACAGGATCCCTGAGCCTAAATCCACCCTCGCATTCTTTTCCTAGATTTCTGTAAACGATGAAGCTGGCTCTTGTTTGGCTGGATCTTGGCTGGGAATCAATTGGTCCATGCAAAGTTTGCTTGGGCCGACTATGATGCATTGTGATGTATTGCAAAGTGTTGTGGAAGCTCTCTGTTTATGTCGGCTAGCAATGGCTTGAGTATAGACTGACTCTCCCACAACAAAAACTTTCACACCCTGCACATAGGAGAGCATCATGTTTTGCGGCTCGTCTCTTCAGCTGCCTTTCATGCGCAGCCACTGCATGAGACATTGGCCATTCGTTCAATGCCAGCTTGTGAGAACCCAGCAAGCCGCAGTCATGGCACTCTGATGATTTCCTGTTCCTGGTTATCCTGGTGCATTGATTCCTGAGTGCTGTGCAGTGCATTGGACAATTTTTGTCTTTCCTCCTGAGCTGAACAAACAATTCTCCAGAAATTTCCCTAAATGCTGATGGTTGGGTCGGATATTGGCTGAGGATGAATTCGGTGCGCAGGGCACAATTGTTGCAATTTCCCACGGTAGGTGCAGGCCTAACTTCTTGGAGGTGCAGGCTTCGCCAAAAGGATTTCAGTGCCAAAAAGCTGGGGACAGTTGAGCCAAGCTGATTCAGCTCGATTGACTTGGTGCTTTGCCCGTAGCTTTTCCTGATCCAAGACAGCTGCCACCATTGATCTATCGTTTGGGTAATTTTGGCAATCTTTTGTTTGGAAATTGAACTGATGAAGGTCCATTAATTTGGGGGAATCCATACCAATAGTTCAGGACTTTTACACCCGTGGATGTTTTCAACATGGGTTTCTAATCTGGGTTGGGGTCGTGCTCTGATCTTTCGGGTGCTTTCGGGTATTTGAATGCATGATGATGCGTGTGGTGGTTGCAGACGTCGGTGAAAGTCTGGCTCTGGGAGCTGCTGAATGGTCGAGCAGCTCCTTTCGTTGCCCAACTGGCAAGGGGATTCTGGTGCCGGCCTCGGCCCGGAGTCATAGGCGCTGTACAGGCAAGTGTTCTTTTGATTATATTTTGCGACAGGTGCACTGCACCACTGGAAAAGATACGCAACAAGTTTGGTGTTCAGGCTTTTCAAAGAAAGATGCCTAGGCCGAGTGAAGTCTGCAGCGAGGGGAATGCGAGCAAGAGGTTGACGACTAGGCGGCCCTAGTGCTACCAGTTCCCAGACTTTTGGGAGAACGGCCCGGGCCATTTTGAAGGTGCTCCTAGTACTGTAGTAAGGTCAGGAGCCCCTAGTAGCGTCCTTGCTCCTAGTAGTAAGGCCAGGAGCCCTTAGTAGCTTCTTGCTCCTAGTGGCTACTTTTTGCCTTTGGCTTTTTTGTTGGTAGAAAACACCTGGGACAACCATGGCGAGCATCTGCAGCACGGTTCTACTATCAAGGTGGCCCTACAGTTTTTATACCCTTTGACTTGAACTTTGCTCTATTTGTTACAAGAAACGGGTGGAGGCCCTGTCCATGATCACGATTGCAAAGGTGTCACGTTGTTCCAAGTAGCATGCAAATGCTTGGGACTCTGTGAGGTCCTGGAGAGGACGAGGTTCTGAGTCAATCTCCCAAGTTTGTTGACCAGGTATTCCTTCGTTTGCAAACATTCCGCAGGCTGAGCATCTTCGGCAGAAGTTTGGGCGCAAGTTTGCGTCATTCTGATGGCCATAGCGTTTCTTTTTTCTCGGAGCATGTGCCTTTTACACCATGTAGATACGAACGTTTAGGGATCAATCCAAAAAGGATACCTCGCGACTCGCGTGATTGCATGTAGAGCTTGTTCGTAGTCGTTTGCTTGGGGCGAATTGCTGCAAGTCCTTCGGATTTGAGACACATCTTTGGAGACGCATTCCTGAATTGATGGAAGCATTTGGCTTACAACAAGCTAAGTTCACTTTACCACGATCTATTTTACCTTACCCGCTGCATCGCCATGAAGATGTTTGGCAAGAGCCACCCAATGCTCTTAGCCGTCTTCCTCTTCTGGCATCCGATCGATGCCTCAGACGGCGGGGTCGCAGGCATCGATTCGTGTCAGGGTCATGCCAGCCAGGCAACATCCCTGCTCTCCTTGAAGACCGACAGGTCAGCAAAACAGAAGGCTTTGGATGGTACCGAGAACAGCGAGCACGTTTTGAATGGGACTGTATGTTCCAACTGCTCCAACTCGTCCAACCAAAGCTTGGAAGACTTGGTGAAGACTGTGCTGGAAACTGACATGAACCAGAGCAGCGCCATGCCGGATCCAGTGGGCAATGGTACTGCCGGAAGCTTGGGACAGAATTTGGAGTTCCTCTACTTGAAAGTGGCTCCTTGTCCAAAAGCATTTCAGCAGACTGTAGCATGGGTTCTTTGTGCTTCATCTTCGCTATGCTTTGAGGGTGAAGTGGTTGTCTCACAAGATTAGGACAAGATCCATCCAAAGACAACTTCAGGTGAAAACATGTCCAAGTTTCTCGAGAACCGTCAAGAACACTGCCTTGAGTCAATAGACGTTGACAGGTGATCCATATTGTCGTGTGCTGTACCACAACCTCTTTGGTCAATGGAATGCAAGAACCATTGAAACCATTTAAACACAGTTATCTGCACCCAACTCGCTTCGTTCGTTGTGCAGCACCGGTTTCCGGTGGTTTTGTCACACACCCACACCGACAGCTGGAGACCGCTGAGGCACAGCTGGAGACCGCCGTGGAGCTTCAGAGTTTGGAGTTGAGACATGGAAGGCAAGAACTGCATGCAGCGCAACTGGAGATCCAAACCCTCAAGGATCGCTTGGATCACAAGGAGGTGGTGTTGCAACAAATGAATGCCCAGCTGAAGAGCAAGCTGAGAGTGGAAGATGAGTTTGTTCCCGAGCTGAAAGTGGAGAGCAAACACCGAATTGCTTGGTTGAAGCAGCTGAAGGAGAAGAATCGCCAGTGGCAAGAAGAAACGAGCCATCGAAGCCAAGACTTGTTGATGTTTGTGCTCAAGAAGCATCAGAGGCAGACCCAGCGCCGTTGGGGCAAGGCTGAGGCACCCCAGGTCAAGGCTGAAAGCGCAGAGTTGAATGAAATGATGACCCAACGAGCGTCTCACCGTACTGCGCGCAGCGGGACAGCTAGCAGCGGGACAGCTAGTGCATTGGACCGCAGTGTGGCTTCCAAGGGGGTTCCCATTGTCGATGACATTGTGGATGCGGGTGAAGATGTTGTGAATGAAATCACGGATGGTACGGGCTTGGTCGGGGATGCTTTGAGCGATGCCTACAATCAGGCCACCGACAAGGCGGCATTTGCGGCTAACACGGTGATCGACACAGTAGAGCAAGCTGTGGCAATTTTAAGTCAAGGCTTTGACTTCAGTGCCGATTGTCCCAATTGGCAAGGGCCTTCACTCTCTGTGAGCGATTCTGACATCTCGGTGGACTGGGGAAGGCAAAGGTGTAGAGTCACTTTGGTTGGTGAAACTTTAACACTCTTCGACATGAATTTTGGCAGCACTTCCGTGGCGTATCCTGCACCCTTGACGGCCATGATTAGTGTCGGCCAACAGGTCTCGGGTTGCCTTTCCAATGGGAATGCTTTGGACGTGTTCAAGTGCACAGCTAAAGCCATAGGTGATGAGTTGTTGGCAGATGTTCCAGCTTTCAAGATCCTATTTGCCTTGGCAGAGCACGTGGCAGGCTGCACTGGTGATGCGCTCGATGTGTTTACCTGCACCGCGGCCAAGGTGGGAGATGTGCTCTTGCAGAGGATCCCCCCCTTCAACCTCCTGACCAATTTGGGCACCATGCTCTCAGAGTTCATCGCCTTCTTCGCTGAGTTGGCGAGTGCCTTGATCCACACCTTGCTCTCAGAGACCAGCTCCCTCATGCAAGTGGCTGTGAACAGCAGCTTTCCACGCGCTGGCGAGCAGCCCCTGCAGCTGGCCGGTCCCAAAGGCCTAACGGCACGGCTTTCCCGGCGCCAAAGCCGGGCGCCGCCCCGGCGCCCCGGACCGCCGTCTGGGAGCGCGCCGCCCGCGAGCGTCTTGCAGCGGGAGGCGGACCGGAAGCCCTCCAATGACGTGGACAACGGCATCGTGGGCTTCGGTAGCACGGAGGCACAGCCCTATGCATCGATGTTGATTACCCAGTTTGGTGGGGATGAGATCGACAGCGGGTCCTGCCTGGCCTTTGCGCCCCGTCATCGCACTGGAAGCGCAGGGAATGTGACCAAGAGAGACTGGCAGGTGCCAAGTCCTGAGAGTGAAGACTTCGTGAAGCTCGAACCCTGGGCAGTGCCTTGTGACAACCAATGGGCCAAAGACAATCCCAGCAAATGGGAGGG